CAACTTGCACCTGGAATATGCTTTTAGGTCCTTAACTGTCTACTAAGCAAAATGCAGACATTTGTGAAATTGCAAGTTTAGCAGATTTCAAAGAATAATCTACAGAGTAGCACCACCATATTGAAAAAAAAAAAAATCTGTTGATCTGCGCTACTAAATTTAAAGGAGTATTTCTCCTTGTTCTGAGATTTTCATCTGATACAGGAAACCATATCATGTGCCTCCATCTTTGATGGGGAACCAGTCCATACACAAGAGGAAACACGATACTGTTACAGCTCAGACATTGTTCATATGGCTGCTGTCCCATTAATCCACCCAAATCCCTCCATCCTCTGGTCTTCTCAGAGGTTCCTCTCATTTTAATCCTCAAAAAAAAAAACAACACCCAACCCTAAATTCAGAGTTTCCAAGGGAGCTTTCATAATTAAGATTTCATTATCAGTTTGCATAGAAAACAAATGCATTTTTATGCAGCATTGCTGTCAAAAATTAGACATTCCATTACCAGAGCTCAGTTCACAAGATACAATAAGAGAGGGGAAAAAAATGTAATGACAAAAACAAAGAAGGTTCAAGTTTCCTTAAAAAAGTCTAACCACCCCCCCCTTCCCTCTGTTCAGCTGCAGTAAGGTGAAAGGCTAAATGTGGACAGAATGGTAATATGTAAGCGGTTTCTAAGCTTTCTGGTGGGAATACTTAACAGCATAAGTATGTTTCCCCTGGAGACCTTCTCCACCATTTGGTCCAATTTCTTACTCCAAGAACTGAACCAATTCATGATGTAATGCTCCAGGGAAAACATTCCTCTCGAAAAAGAGTATCTTCCTAGGGAGAAGTTTGAAGAAAACATCTTAATATTGTTTAAACAGCTTTTGGCACGGTCATACGCTGCATCGCGCTGCATTCGATACTGAAAGCAGAAGAAAGGCAGGCTAAAAATATGGAAATGGAAAGTTTTAGGATTTAGTTTAAGACTTCTCCTCAACTACCACCCCAAGTCCCCAGCCTTTGCTGATCCTTAGTGGAATGAGAAAAAAAGACATTTTCAGAAGCAGAGATTTTCTTTGCTAATAAAAAGAGGAACAATTTAAGGCTTTGGCTATTGTGTGTGTCAGTATGAAACCGCATAGTTAATTCTGCCTATAGCCTTATCATTTTCTATAGCTCTTACACGAAGGTGCAGTTCCAAGGCACTTAACACCACAGATCTGGCTGTGACTAAGGCTTTTTGTGGCTCTATTAAGAGGCACTGTGCCAAGCATTAGGAAAAGTTCCTGGCAGCGATGCTTTAATTTGCTTAACTCGCACTATCTTGTGTGTGCATACATTCTCTGTGCTACCAACAGCTTTGCTTCCCTTTTTGGATCATCACTCTGTGAACCAACTTGTCATTTTTGTGACTGGCAAGAGCCAGACATCAGTGTATTAAGCAAGATGAGGGAGCATTGGGAAGACAGAAGATGAGCGAGGCAGAGCAGAAGGCAGCAAACTCCAAAGCCAAAGAGGTGGAGAAGCAGAAAAACTGGGCAAAGTACAACAGACCTATCTACAGTGAGAAGCAAGGAGTGGGAGAGATGCAAAAGACAAATGTAAGGTGAACATTTGAGGCTTATATTCCATAGCTTGTATTGTATACTGCTTAGCATTAAGATGAGCTACATGTACATTACCTACTCTTTATATAAACCTTACAAAGCTTGCCTTGCGAAACGCACCGTGGGTAATCATGATTTTTTTCTTGAGAGTAAAACGACCTTTTTATTCATCATTAATATTTGTACCCACACAATTACTTTTTCCTCAATAGCACACCTGAGGATACTCAACATATCCAAGTGGCAGTTCAAACATGAATTCCCTTATAACTTTTGAGAGATTTGCATTAGTGAATATTATTTACTACCAAAACTCAACGCTACTGACCTTCTGAACATGGAACTAAGTGCATTTGTTTGTCCAAACATTTGTATGACACAGGCAGGTTATTTATGACAGACTGAAGCACGGCTTCAAAAGTATCCTCAGTATAACTCGGTTGATTTAATGGATGGTGATATTAGATCTGTATTTTTCACCCTGATGTTACAAGTGCTGGCAAATAAATGGAAGACAAAGGAAACTGAGTAACAATTTAATTCAAGAACAGCACAAAACCAAACCCAGACCGCAAAGGGAACAAAAAGGCCAATTTTCTGATTCCTAGCTTGTTTAATTTACAACATGAGGGCTTTCAAGGAATGATGACTATTTGTTCTTGCAGCTTCTCTTCAGACTTTGAGATACCTCGTTTGTAAACTTTAATGTTTTAAAAAATGAGGCTCATTTACCTGCTTAAAAAGAAGTTTGCATTTTATTTGCTCAAAGAGATTTTTGCTTGTAGGGTGGGATTGAGGAATAAAAGGTTTGTTTGCAGAGTGGGGGTTGTCCAAGCCATAGCGTGTTTTGATAATTTAAGTATCAGTCCCTCATTGTTACAATACTTGGAGGTCTCTGGGCATAAATGACTAAATTAAAAATTACTATTATTAATAAATATGGTTGTTCAGACTATAAAACATGTTGTACAGCATGAAATCTCTTGGTTACACTGTGCAACGTCTTCACTGAACTGACTGGCAATGCTAAAAACCAGCAGTAAGCCTGCACCATAAAGAGGGTATTTAAACTAAACTTTAGTGGAGTTGGAAGCCAGTCCATAGCAGGCTTCTATCAAGAGGTTTTACTGCTAGTTTGCTGGGTCTTGTGTTTGTAGAATTTTCAGTTTCTTGGTAGACCCTAAACTTTTAAAGCCTTGAATCACAACTATTTATCACCCATCAGGGAGCTACATAAAATGTATTTTCCTTCAGAATGATTATTCTCATTAAAAAAACTAATCTAAAAAAAGACAATTAAGAACATATATTTTTTTAAAAATCTACAATACAGCCCAACTAACAGGGATTCTTAAAACTAAATGCTATGAACCACAAAGATTAATGCCACCTGCAAGCTGTAAATATGTGTATTATTTAATTTTTTTCCAAGTATTTTCTTTGGCTGTTACATTCAGCTGAACAAGGCCTAAAAATTGTCAAACTAAATTCTTGTTTAAGAGTAGAGCTCTAACTACTGCCAGTTTGAGTGAAACACACATCCAGGTTTAGGGAATATGTTTTATTTATTTTGGCTGCAGCACAGGGTAGAACATTTTCCATCCCATCCGAATGCAGTCAAAAAGGTTTTGAAATATTGCACAATAAAAGCCATTCATTATATCTGTCTCCTCTGCCTTCCAAAAACAAAAATGGCTGACCAGTTCCAAATCTGTGCAGGGGGCAGGAAGATGGGAGTCAAGGGGTCACTGGAAATAACCCAAGACTAACACCAGGTTTTTCAGGTTTGAGTTAGGGAATATGTTCCATGCCCTCATTCCCAGTGCACACAGGTTTTTCTTCTTCCCCCTCTAAAGCTTGGTTAAAGTAGCTAATTGCTCTGTTATGCACAATTTACAGGACTTAATTACAAAACTAATACATTAGCCTTCTTGTCTATAAGTCACAGGCACAACTTCATCTTTCCCACTGGGACACGGTGAAATGGAGACCTTATCTTATTTCAAGTTAAAACATTTTGGTTTGCACTGTTTACCTCCTAATTTTAAAACAGTACAATTTGAAGGAATACCCAACTACACTTTACAGTTTGTTTTTAGATTTATTTCCATTGCTTACCTACCTGTTAGCAGCTTGAAAATGAAATTTCTTTCACTGCTCACTCCTGTTTCTGTGTGCTTAAGCTATACTTGGCATACTTCGATGGCTTTATTTTTTTTTCCTTCTCTCTCTCTCTCTCTCTCTCTCTCTCTCTCTCCATTTCCGTGTACACTGATCTAACAATGCTTTTCTGTTTGCTTCCTTGTGCATAGATCAGTTCATCACTAAAGTTTTTCCAGGTCTAAATGAACTGTAAGAGTGCTAGAGGATTCAGAGTGAGAAGGAGGAAGAGCAGAGCACAAACGTTTTAGTGCATTTCTAAACAGCAACTAGAGCAGATGAACATACAGTGGTGACACTTCCAGGCAACCCTTCAGTGTTTCAGCATCCCCTCCTATTGCTCAGTTAGTCAAAAGCAAGTAGAGAAAAATAAGCTGAAGACCAGATGAACTTTACTTACAACTGATCAAAGTGGAAAAAAAAAAAATTTAAAAAAAGCGGCATGTACAATTCTTGTTATTTTCTTACCATGAGTGCCAGGCTGAGGAAACTGTTTTATTCTGTTAACTCACACTGAGAAAACTTGGGTCATATCATCTCCACTTCTGTGACTTATTGTGCATCTTAATTATGGCAGAACGTCAGCATAAAATAACTCCTGGAAGCCACTAACAGTTTCACTTTAAAACCGAAGAATTCATGTCTAAGTATTGTTGTTCATTGTCTCTTCAGCTCACTAATATTAAGCAAATGTAAGCGAAGACCATTCCAGCTGTGAAATACTCCTTACTGCTAGTCGTCACATCCTCAGCTAACTGAAAATGCATCGAGACTGCCCTTCATAGGATAGTGCGAGAAAAGTGATTTGTAATTACTCTTACTTATTAATGACACCATAATTACAGAGTGGCAAAATAATCAGTCTTTGTAGAACCCACCACTTGTCCTCTATGTCAGTCAGAGCACGATAATTACATGGCAATCTGTTAAATGCAATTATTCGGCAATACACACTTAGTACTAGCTATTACCATACTTGAAGCCACTGAAAATCTACACAGTGCAGTGCTTAATGGTAGTGAAGTACTTTTAAAGACAAAGCAATCTTTCTAACAATCCTCTGGAGAGAAAAAAAAACCTCCCTGTAGAAGAGCAGGAAGAGTAAATGAGAGGGGGAAGAGACTGGCCAACACCAGATTTATTTAGATGCCACTATAGTGCACAGACTTACACGGAGCTCAAGTACTGCACAAAAGGAGGAAAAAAAAAAAAAAAAAAAAAAAAAAAAAAAAAAGGAAGTCAAAACAGTGACTTAAATTGAAGGCTACAAAGGCCAGCCTTCACCCTGGGGGCCTGCATCAGCCGCTCCCCGGTCTGACACGCTGCCTAGCGACGCTTCACTGATCAAACACCACGACTCAAGCTTTCCACCACCGACTTCGCGCGTTCTTTTGTCTGATGACTTTGCTGGAAGTAAAACTGCAGGTCGTATTAAGAGTGACTAAGCCAACCTAATGTGACAGAACACCACTAAAATCTACTTCGGACAGTGCTGCGATTAATAGCTGAAAAATAGAGGCGCAAACTCAAAATACGTTGACACCCGCCTGCACCCGCACACAATGCACCTTTATTTTAACTCCTACACCCCAACGTGGTAACGAAGACAAGAGATGACTTCAGAATGTTCTTGTGTTGATTGAACAGGGATAGCGAAGCCGCTGGTCATTCAAAGGTTAACGTTAACTCACTTTCAGAAAAGCAAATCTGAAGAGGGAACCTGATTGTTCACTCCGTATGGCACAGCCACCACGTTGGTTACACTACTTCAGGAGTCCAGAGAGATTCTCTTCCGAGCAGACACAGCGAGTCACACGAGACCTGAATGTTTGAAGTACCAAGAACATTTTGCCACCCTCGCATGAGGAGCGCTCTCCCAAATTCCCCAGTTCCTTCCCATGCTCAGCAGCCCCCAGTGTCAGCAATTCTCCAGCTCCCGATTCCACGACAGATTCTATCTCAGGTCTTAAGTCCCAGATCACCTCTTGCAACCCTAATCTCTAGCAATCAGAAAACACAGCCAGAAGAGACCTCAAGAGGCCAGCCAGGCCCTATCCTTACCCCTAGGAAGGATCATATGTCATTCCTGACAGATATTTGTTTAATCTGTTCTTAAAAGCCTCCAGTGATGGAGATTCCACAACTTCCCAAGGCAATGTATCCCTGTGCTCAACTATCTCTGCTGCTGGAACTTTTTCTTAATGTTTAACAGAGACTTTTTTTTTTTTTCTCTTAAACACATTATTTCTTGTCCCATTCAGTACAGAGATTTTACCCACCCCTTCATTACAACAGCCTTCTGCATAACTGAAGACTTGTCTCAAGTCCTCTCCAGATCAAGTGCTGTTAACTGCAAGCTCTTTATTTCTCCATAAGTTCCAACCTCACCTCATGCAGTCAAGCATCTACATATAATTCCTAACAACCCTTTTCAAGCAAGCTGTGCCAGGAAGAAAAGCCAAGCTTTGTTTTTTTCTCCCTATCCTTGCTCTTTTATTTCTGACTTTACTTACACTTCGCTTCACATCTAAAGTGCACTTAGCCTATCCACTCAAGAAACCTCAAGGGAGAATTCTCTTCTAGTGCTGCTGTGACTGATGCACAGGACAGCAACACCACAAAGAGCACATTCTAGGCAGTATTTTAGATCAAGCCCTAATATCAGACACAGTTTGTTGCCTCTTCCTCCAGGACAACTCTTTACTTGACCTGACTATTCAAGTCTAGTATTCAGTATCTGACACCCACAGTCTCTACTGGTTTCACTCACTGCTAGATTTAGTATCTAAAAGCTGTTAGGTAAACCCTAACATCTCAGCTGCAACTGTAGGGCTCCACTGTGTTTAAGACTATAAAGTGATTTCCATACAGCACAGAAGCATTTCAGTTTTCCAGATTAATTCCAGTGTGTAGTTCAGCTTTTTTTTTTTAGAATGTTAGAAGTAGCACCTATTATTAACTTTAATGTCAAGGAGCTTTAGATTTTAATCTTAGCTAGTATCTCTCCAAAGATTTTGTGCACTATGGTATTATTTTCCAATTCAGTTACAACCATAAAACCTCATGTCAGAGTGCCCTCTCCTGGTAAACCAACATACTGCTGCCACAAGATTCAACTCGAGGAACGATTACCATTCCGTTTCCGAATCGAAAATGTTCATTGCCACACAAAAGGAAAATCCAAAATAAAACATCAAGGAAACTGTTTTGATAACTTCAGTAATGTTTCTAAAGTAGCATAAGATGAACAGCATTTAAGTAGTGAAGTTTCTTTCAAGTTGCCGTAGGAGTTCTTAGGCAAAATTGATGATGTCTGTAGAGAAAAGCAAAACATGCATAAAAATGAAACTGTTCCATTTGCTTTTAAGCTTTATAAAAGCAGCCAAGTACATAAAGTGTTTTATTCCACATCAATAATGTTAAAAACAAGGTCACAGAAAAGATCATTTTCAACAGAAAGCTATTTCCTCCAAGCTGGCACAGGTATTTCACTAGAGCTGAAACAAAACAGTATGAAAAATGAAAGCAACAGCAAATGTTTAAGGAGACCACCTACAGTCATCACTTTTTATTACATTGTTCAAACTAGAAAAATGAAAACAGTAAGACGACAGGTCAACTACTGAATAATATGTACTGTATTTAGTACAAGTACACCAAAGTCTGGAAGTGTCCAGAAATGAAGTACAGCTTTATTGTATGATGAATGTTTTGCTTTCCTTAGCCAATTTATTTTTTTTTAAATTAATGTTATATACAATAAAGATTTAAAAGTCTTTTTAAAAAAAAAAGAAAAAGACCAAGAAGCAGAATTCATTAACTCTTGCTAACACAAAATTCAGTCTTATTTATAGGAACTCTACCCCTGCTCGTGCCCGGAAGGTAAAGCAAAAGCAAAGTCTTTTCAGAAGATGGTAACTGCTTCCCCGCCTTCTACTCCTCCCCTTCAAGCCAGAAATGATTTCTTTCTTATTTGAAGAGAATCTCAAGGGGGTTTTGAGGATATTTTTGAAATCTGGAAAAAAAGTTCATGAAGATTTCAAAAGCAATTTATAGGGAATGATCAAGCACACAGGAAACATCAACACTTGAAGCAATTCTAGCTGAAAGGGCGTACTTCACAACATCATGGTTTAACTACTAGAGACAAATTCATGTTTTATCTACTTCAAACTTCAAAAATGTAACAAAATCTTAAGCTGGAATCCATTTTTTGAAAGAACAGCAGAGAGCCCTATCAGCAAAATATGGGTTAGTATCAACTCCCAGTTATTTAAAAAGTAACTTGTCACCACAGACCGTATTTTTGAACTATCAGATTTGTTCCTCTTTATTTAAAAGAGCTGAAAAGTCACACGTTTACTGACACGCCTCCATTCAGCAACATCATATACTGCTTGTGCGTTTGAGAGCGGAGCAAGCGTAGCAAGCTGGTTCACTAAACACATCCCATCTAACAGTCATGACTAAGTTCCAAGGGCAAAAATCCCACACTACTGCGCAGCGAAGACTAAACACTTACCTAGACACAAGAAAATCCCAGACTGTGATAACATGCATACAAATTCATGCATAAGCATTATTTAAATTGTTTATATTGTCTTGCAACAGAATTCACTAGCCCCTATGAGCAATCCGGCCAGCTGAGGAAGATCAGCCTTTGCCTTCTTGAAATGACTGAACTTGGTGGCGCAGGGACAAAATTTGTTGAGGTTTTTATAATATTAGCAGAGTTTAATTGCTATTGCTCAGCGCTAAAGTGTGGAAAACATGTCAGCAAGGATGCAGACTACATTAAAGAGGTGATGTCAAAAGTCAGCTCATAACAGGAGAACAACTTTTTATCCTCCTGATTACCTGCCATGACTGCCTACCAGAGCAATGCTCTGAGCCAAGCTAGGTCTTCCACACAGTTCTGATCCTCAAGCATTTTAGGCGTCAAGACAAAGAAAATCAGTTCTAAGTTATCCCGAAAATGAATAAGGAAATATTAAGTAAGGAAATATAAGTGGGAGAGAGAAGAACACAGCACTTAAGAGAACATAAGAATCTATTACTGACCTTCACTTTAGAAAATCAGAGGTAGCTGAAACCTCACTAAAAGAGTTATTTTCAAGAGGTATTTCTACTTCTTCAAAGTGTTTTTTCTTACTTCTGTCCTTCCAATATACAGAATTTGTTATGCTCCTCCGGGTTTGAGACCAAGTTCTTGTTTCTTGAGGTGTGGATACACACATGCTTCTCCTCCTCCATCTTTTGCAAGGACCATCAGCAAGATTAACAGAGTCATGGTTCTCCTTCCCCGGCGCTGAGAACGGGATGAGATTTTGTTTTCTATGGTGAATATTCTCAGATTGTGTAAGGATGGATGTGCTTGATCTCCTGATTTTGCAAGCAGAAGCTATCAGAGGAGGGTTCTGAATCTCATCGGGTACTTGAATCCATGCAAGTCCTTCCATTTCTGCATCTTTATTTAATCTCATGCTGCGCCTCACTCTTCTTTCACCACTGTTACTGCTCCTTCTCCTAAAAGGCTCAAAGGAGTTGGTTTTTCGCTGAGGAACAGATAAGACTTCTTCCACATTAAAAGAAGAAACTGGAAGATCGTTTCCAGTTATTTCCAATGTTTCAACAGGAGGAAAACAGACAGCACTACTTTTTCGACTTCTTCTTCTTGGTGGACTACTTATAGAATCTTTTTGGGGACACTGAGTTCCTTGGGCACTCTCATGTACACTAGTGTCCCGTTGTTCCAGAAATTCTAGCCCACTCAGCTGCTCTGCCTTATTTAGGAGATTTCCTTGTAATTTGTTGTTTTCTATCAAAGAACCACTTTCTTTTGCCTCTTTTACACACGCAGTCTCTTTACCTTGTTGGAAATAGTCAGATGTATCAAAACCACACTTTGCATCTGGCACACTGTTTGAAAACTGGGGAAAAAGAAATTTTTTTTTTTAAATATGGGCAAAAGGTAGGACACAATAAAACTGGTTTCAAACAGCTGACAACTAAACAACTGCTACTGTTTTCCTCACCAAGTCTAGTCATTCTCAAAAAAACCCCAAAACACACATAGGATTCTGCAGGTTGGAATCTGCTCCAGTGTGGGCCCAAGCTTGTGTTGCTCAAGGCCTTGTTCAGTTGAGTTCTGAATACCACTGCGCAAGGACGGAGACTCCCTGACCTCTTCCAGGCAGCCTGTCCCATTGTTTAACCACTCTAAGTATTTTTCCTTCTCCTAAAATATCACTTTTTTGATCCAACCACATCAAGCACAATTCTGAGTTATTTTCTAGGAGTATCCTTAAGCATATTGGTTACCTCATGATCGATGCCAGAACTGGACTGTGGGTCCCCACTGGACACGTGAAACACCTCGCTCCCAGAGCCACTGGCCTCCACGAGGTCCAGGTCCTCAGAGCTTGAATACGCTGCACAGACGGTCGCCCCTCTCACTCCTTCAGCCACTGCCTTCTCCTCAACATCCCTGCGAGCCTTCCCGGATCTGGCATCATCTAAAAATAATATGTCCTCTGAATTACAATAAACATCTGGTTACTTGACTCTTCTTGTGAATGGACCAAAATGGTTTTTTTCAGTATTACAAAGGCCTTCTAGTATTTTACTTACATAAAAGTAACCTTCTAAACAATCATTCCAGACAATTAGTGTAAAAAAGCCCAGAAAGCTACTACAATTCACTATTCATGCCCAATTTACCAGTTTTAAAGACTATGAAAATACCAGTATCCAGTCAAGTAGAGAGAGGTTTGGCTTTTTGGGTGAGGTTTTTTTGTTGTTTGTTGGTGGATTGGGGTTTTTTGTTGGTTTGGTTTTTGGTTTTTGTTGTGGTTTTTGTGGGTTTTTTGTTTTGGGTTTTTTTTGTTTGTTTTGTTTTTTTTTTTTTTACACTGGAGTCCAACAAGAGTTACATTTATCCAGTTGCAGATTATTAATCTATCAGATCCTCTGGACTCTCCTATTACATAGCAAATAGAAGTAAAAAAAGTATACTGGGTTTCCTATGCACAGAACTCAAGATGTCTATCAACATTTTTTTTAATGTAACTGTTGAAGTAAAAAATTAGAAGAAACAGAAAGACCAAGGCAAACTAAAAACCACATTACCTGAAAAAAGTGCCTGTGTGTCTGGTGAGTTTGAAGATGAAGCAGAAGAGAAAGTCTCTGGAATTTCAGGGATGGGGCTGAGAAGAGGTTTCTTAGAAGCCATCTCTCTTTCCCCATATAAAGATTTTTTTACTTTTTTCTTTCTTCTTTTCCCATAGCTTGTATGCTTTGTTTTCTGAAAAGAGAGAGAAGATCGAATAGAGCACAAAGTAATACAAGTACGGTATTTTCAAACAAATAAGTGACAGCATTACTGGATTCTGAGGGATAACAGTAATTTTCCCCAAAATGAGGGTTCCACTCATTTTGCCATCTACAAATTAACCTAAAAACTCCAATCAAAGAATTACTTCTCAAACACGAGGTCTGATTTTTTTTTTTATTTAACCATATCTAGAAATCAAAGAAATAATTAGTCTTTCAGCTCAAAACTACAGATGCTTCACTCAACGCTTAGTTTGAAAAGGAATACATGCTTTCCCTTCCAACACACGAAAGCAAAAATCTTTTAGGAGTCACACACCTTTACAATACTTAACTAGCATATAACTGGGTAAGTTCAAAGAACTACTACTGCATGCCCTTGGTGAGAGAACGACCATAAACTCATTTTCTGTCCCTGAAGTCTGAAAAATGACACCACCACCCCCCTTCACCTCCCTGAAGTATCCCTCCTGTCCTAACAAGTATTTAAACCCTGCTAGTCAGCCTTAACAAGCAGTAAGAAAGGAAAAGCATAGTAAGCATAGGAAAACAAGATGGGTATGAAGAAGAGAATATTGGCAACAACAGGAAACATAACACCCTTCAGAAATTCTTTGTAATAAAGATCAAAATAATCACGTAAAACACACAAGAAAGAAGAGACGCTTGGATAAATAAAGGCAGCACACACCAACTGCAGAGGGCTGTCACTTACTTGGGTCTTTTTGGCAGCAGATGTGGTTACATTCTTTTGTCTTTGAAACCTGTTCTTCCTGGGATTTTTACTCTCTTTGGCATTCTTAGTATTTGTGGCTCTTGAGGTGCTAAAATCAGTCTCTTCTGAAATGGTGCTACACTGCTGAGAAAGATGAATTTTGAGTTGCTGGGGTGCGTGTGCATACACTTGCTTTTTCAAAAAAATACACCACAGTCCAACAGTCAGAAGAATCACACTGTAATTAGTCTCCTTTATTTATACGTGAGGCCCTAAGAGCTAGATACTCCCAACCAGAAATTAAGATTTACAGATCTAGTCTCCTCATACATATAGCCCTGTTTGTACAAAAAGGACATTTCTAATGAGAAAACGCTAAGTTTTCATCTTCAGCTATTTATTTCCTTAAGACAATTACCTGCACCAACATGAGATATCTTCATACAGCTGAGTATATATAATACTCATACCTGAGGCTGTAAAAACTCTAAAAAGCATCAGGAGATATAAAAGATAAAATTCTGCCTGAAGTAAAAAAAAAGAAAAAACCCACAACACAAAACCAAACATTATCACTAAAGAAACTTACCTCCTTTTTAGTAGAAGTTGTTATCATACCAGATTTGTCAGTTTCTGCTATTATAGATGAAGAAAATAAGAATACTGATTCAGTTTCAACACAAAAAGTTAATCAAGTTTTGATGAAATTATCCACATAATTTCTATTATTATGCACAGTGTGTTTAGTCATCTTAGTCTTGAGTAACTAGTAACTTAGTCTGGAGGTCTATCAAACATGGCAAGATAAAAAATAAAATTAACAGCTTGCTTTACAACACAGGAACACAACATTTGTGAGAATTTAGTAACAAAATACTTAGCACTTAGATGGCTTTCCTAGAGAAAAATATATACACAACCCCTTTCAATATTTGTGGTTGTTGGCTTTGCCTGCTATTTTAAAACCATCAGAATTACAGTACCACCATCAAGATAATAAGCCCAATTACTTAAAGCAGTAAGTCTAATTAGAGCAGCCACTTTCACAGAAAAATACCACAAGGTCAGATAACATCCAGTTAACCTAAACAGGTAAACACTGCAGCTACTGCAAAGACCTTTAGAAGAAAGCAAGAGCATTTAAATTTTAAACTGAAATATATTCACTGTATAAAAAAACACAAACAAAAAAAACACCCTGTGTCATCTCTCAATCTTCAGATACAAATATCTAATGACAAAAATACAAGTTGGGGTTACCATCTGCATTTTCAGCAGGCAATGGGTCTTCTGCAGCAACAGGACCCTCCACGAACTCTTCAGGAGGCTCAACACATTCCTTTAAACAAAGAAAGTTAATTTGTTTAGCAATATACTATACCAGAGACATACTGAAAAACACCTGGTCCATCAGTGCTTGGAACAGCCAGGCAATTTTTTTTTTTTTTTTTTTTTTTTTCCCCTTAAAGAACACAGCAGCTCATTTGCTACATATGGCAGAAAGAAATACAGCAGCAAAAGTATATGAATAAGCCAAGGCAAAAAACATTTCATGTGCTACCAGTACTCAACTTTAAACATAGCTCTACAGGCCAAAATGCTACTTAGAATTCATAAAGCAAAAGTTCTCAACATCATTCTGAAGTTCCAAGCAGACTGTGTTTTCACGTTTGAGCAATTTCTTTTCTAAACCAAGCAGACTGGTGAAAAAAAAAAAAAAAAAGACAAAACCTGAACATTCATAGAAACCAAGAAGCTGGGTTTGTAGCTTGAACAACAAAAAACTTACATCATCGCAATCAAAGTCTGGCTGGGATAATGGTTCTGCAATGAGACTTGACCTTGACAAAGAGCTATTACTGTGCAATAATCCTGGAGAAGGGGCTGGAGTCGCTCCTTTGCGCAGCGGGGTATTTGCAGGCAAAGTTTCATCAAATATTTCTGGGCTTAGAACTTCTCCAAAAGTAACTCTTTTCTTCTTTGGTCTTTCAGTTCCATCTATTGTAACAAAACACAGATTACTTAGTGAGTTTAAAACAGAACTTTCACAGAGCAGAGACTTTTCAAGGTCTTTTTACGGGTCTTAACATTCTCTTAAAACACGCACACACACACACACACACACACCAAACAGCAAGATACCACCTTTACCTGTCCCATGGATTCAACTGAATTTTCACTCGAGCTTAATTACACCATCAAGAATTAAGGAAGAAAGAAAACAGAAGACTAGAAACGACAATCTGTTCCACAAGTTTCAGTTGACAAGTGTAAAATTTCTTGAAAAACAGGGGATTCTATTCTGGTATTAGAGGCTTTCTGAAGTTTTGGTGTGGGATTTTTTTTTTTTTTAATAGACATTCTTTTCCTTGGCAATTTTATTTTCCACTTCACTCAGTAGGATGCCACACATAAGCTACTTTAGCAGTGCTTAATGTGTATCGTTCTTCAGACTTACCAAAGAGGCAAAACCTTATGAACCCACAGAACACTCTGCCTATTTAAAAACCAAAAGGGGAATCTGACCTGTTTCTGTTGCTTCAAAGGTTTTTGCACAATTGGCGACCGTGAGAGATTCACCTCCTCCTCTGTCAACTGCATCATCTGAGTGTTCCTATCAAATTTAAGGGATACAATCATCTATTCAATACCATTTAATTAAAATATTGCCCTTCTTCAAATCAAAGTGAAAACAACCTTTTCTGTAAGCAACATTTAACAATCAGTCCTATTGTTTAAAAAAAAAAACAAAACAAAACAACACTTGTTTTCTAAATTAATAAAACTCAGCAACACACACACACACAGATCATCTCATAACATCAAAGCTTCCAAGATGACCCAACAGCAAACAGACATCCATTCAGAGCATTAAACTCTTTTTGATCCATGTCCATTACTCAAAAAGCATCTTTAACCACCGTTCAACTTCTGGAAGTTCAATAATGACCACAGGAGTTCTCCCTTAGTATCAGCACCCCCATGGAAGTCAGTTCACCAACCTTCAGGCTATCTGAGAATTGCTTCACTGGTGTTTTCTTCAACACAGATCTCAGACCGGAGCCACTCTGTGTACGTTCTGTTAACGAACTATTTTCTGATTGCAGTGGAGTGATGGGAGGGGTGACAGGTGGCTTGTTTTCATCAAATATATCCAGGCTCAGTTCTTCCACAAAACCAACTCCCTTTCTGCTTTGTCCTGATAGAACACTCCTTCTAATGTCTTTAGTGATGTGATCAGAGCTGAAATCTTTAGAGCAAGTAGACAGGTATGATCATTAAACACTGAAGTAAAATGGTGAAGTATATAGTTAGAATATTAGCAATTAGAAGATTGCTTTAGTATTAGCAACGTGAGCTACAAACGTACACATCTAGAGATTCTGGGCATGAACATCACAAAAAATCCCTTCATTTTTTAAATTTCTACTATTATTGTGCTACATTTACATGTCATATTTTCAGAAATTTAAAGTGGGGCACTGCATGAAGGAAATTTCTGTCTCCTCTGTGTAACTGGGGGGGGGGGAACCTAATTTACAGAGAGGTTCTACATTAACATCCCTCTCTCCTTCACAGGCATGAACTACTCAATTATTTTTCCATAAGAATGGCCTGACTAGCAAAATTAACAGAAAACTCTCAACAATTATTCCCAGCCTGTGTCTCGGTTTGAGCTTGCTTTTTCTACCAGAATCAAACTGTTAACATACCACCCAAGAGGCCTTACCCCACCTTCCAAATATTTCAGCTCCTCTCATAAAAGCTATTTCCTTCCTATGAACTGTGCTTAAGTAAAAACATGTTTAATGCTGTACTGAACAAGCTCTGAATTCAGTTCATAAACAGACTTGAGCCTCCTCTGCAGCAGCACTTAAATAGATGGTTATTTGCAGTATTTCTTTTTTTGTTCCCCCATTAGCCTTTATGTCAAAATTCTATCAGGTCTCTGCTGCATTATGAATTGTAGACAAGATACAGCCATGGGATGACATTTCCTTACATATAGTCTAAGTATTTTTACTTTCTAATAAGAACATAATGAAGATTATAATAGTGATGAATTCTCTTACCACGGCCTGTTTCTATGATATCTCTAATTAGAACAGCCTCCAACGACTCAACAGGATTGTGTTGCTCATAAACCCATTCCTAGAGGAAGAAGTCAGATTATTTATCCCTTTCTCTCATCTACTTACATACACACTCGTACAATAAAGAAATAAAAAGCTACTTGCAAATGCTTCCTTTTAAAATAACACGAACTACTGAGGTTTTTAATCCCATAGACAAGGATTGCAGAGTTCTCAGTCATCCACTACTTTAGTTGAATTTATTTTCCCAAAACACCAAGGCTAAATGCTTAAAAGGATTAGACATCAGAAATTTAAAAAAAAAAAAAAAAAAAGGAATGAAAACCCTGTGTATTTTAATGACCAATTTAGGGAGTTTCTTCCCAACCATTGTACAACTGCTGCACTATCACAGCTGTTTCACCGCTGGGCAGCTGCTAGGTCCAGAGCAGCAGAGAGACACTGAGCAGAACAGGCCCCACGGCCACTGTTCTTCTATACAACACTAATAAAAGGACCACTGGAGACACTTACATAGAAGACAAATTAACTTCTCCATCAGTACACAAGTACATCCTTTTTTTTTTTTTTTTTTTATGGAATATCAAATAACTGCCAAACAGATGTAAAGTGAAGATTAAAAATTGCATTCGAGGTCATCCTGATGATCAATAAAGTTGGTGTTAACACCTGGAAAAAGCTGTATTTGCCCAATCTGTGAATTTGACATCTCATATAGTTACAGCTGCAGATTGAAAAGAATCAAGACCCATTTAGATTAATAGAATAAGCTTTTCCATGTGGATATAAGAAAAGAGTATAATCTTACCGACTAGAGCAGCTTATAGCACGTCAACCCGAGGTGTGTGCGTACCAGAACACTGAGCACAGCCCCAGAAGAGCCAGCAGCAGGCATCTGGGGTTAGGCTGTACTCACCAGCAGGCCAGGTGGATCACCATCCAGGCCAGACTTTATTTCGACTTGCCATAATAAGACATAAAATTCTTAAAAAGCAGATTTGCTGTGCAACTTGTTCCCTCCACGTGCTTTGCCCACACTTATACAAGTACCTTTGAAACAGCAGCAGCAGGTTCAGTGACAGTCACAGCTTGACATGAAGACAAGATGGTGCAGGTCTTGGTATCAGACTTACTGCTCTTGATTACGTTTTGTCTTAAATTTTCTTTCAAATAACCACCACTGTCGTCTGACCTGAACTTTTCACTCCACTGATCCAGGTTCCGCTCTTTTGTAAAAGGTACTTTGTTCTGAGCTGCGTGAATTAAAAACAAAACAAAAAACAAACCACAAGGACAAACTTCAGATTTTCAATGAATGCTCTTTTTGTGTTTCTTCATCAAAAGGATGGTGAGATTCAAAAAGCTAGGTAATTTTCTAGACAGGAAAAAGAAAACACATGCATTGAAAAGAACATTTTCAAGTCTTCAAAACAAAGCATGTTATTCTTTTCACATAAATGTTATTAAGACCACCAATACCAGGGAAGTGAAGCACTGTAGTTTGTTCCACACTATCATCTTCCCACAGTTACCACAGAACTGCCCGGACTTGCTTTTCAATATACTTACTATTTTCATTAAGAAATAAGGATGTTAACACCATAGTAATGCCAAGTGACTTCTAAAATTACTCCACTTAAAAGTTATTAAACAGAAGTGTGCACATCACCATCAAAAGAGATGACAGCTCCAACAGCTAAAACCAGTTGTCATAAAAACCCTTCTCAGTTTCATGGAAGAAGTGTGAGAGCACCAATGCTTAGTGAAAAGTAAATTAAATGGTGTACATATAGAAAGTAAAGCTAAGCAAACAGTCACGACAAATACTAGTCTTCATTTTTTCTCAGGGGTTATTCCGAGAAACCACTACTCAAGATGCACTAAGAAATAAAATAGGTTTAAACAAAAAACCTCAAACCAACCAAGCAAAATAAAAGAACCTGTACCAATCCTTATAAAGGAAGATATTTTTTGGTTTATATTATATTAAGCATTTATACTTCTCTACTTTTTGGCCTAAAGGAAGACCTGATATTTAAGATAAATCACTGACCAGAAACACAACCAACTTACAAGAGCCCGATTCCTGGGAAGCATCATCCACTCGGGACAGGCCGGAGAAGCTGGATTCCCCTTCACCTTCTTGTACCGATTTAAAAGATGCTTGGAAGGCGTCTATCTTGTCCTTCAGCGACCTGACGTTCTCACGCTTAAAGGGACTAACCTGCTAAAAAAAAATTATAACCTCATGAGACTTTCTTTCCCTCCCCCCCAAGGATGACATGGGCTTTATTACTTTGTATTTGTACTTTGGCATAAAACAAACTCGGAGAAGTAAATCTTGTGTTGAACGTGGCTGCAATTATAGTTGTATGGTAAAAATATGCAAAAAAGGAACTGTATCAAGAAACCTGTTAAGTTTTACTGCCTTTCGTAATTTGTCCCTCTATGCCATATCCGTTTTCTGAGTAGTCTCTTCTAGTTTCATTTAAGAACAAGTCTAATTAAAACCAAGTCACTTATGCTAGTATTTACATCACTTTGAACTACCAACACTTTAATTAACAAAAAAAATCAAGGATGGCAAATGCAAAGTAAAAAGTTATGGTAAATGTAATTAAAATACGTGAGCATGGAGAAAGGACTCCAGACCCTACACAAACACCACCTCTAAGATCAGCTTATTCTCAATTAAGGTGTCCAAGGGAGGTCAACCAAATTAAAGCCATGGCTATTCCTTCTAGCGGCTTCTTCCTGAGCCTTGCCTTCTCTTTCACCAGCATATTTGATTCCTGGGAGGAATTAAACTGACACATTGGGTATTTGGGCAAGACTCTCACCTCTGTAAAAGCTTTTTGCCTGTCACTCTTCTGCTGGGCAAGGTATCGAATGAGGGTGTTATTTTCTGGTGACCCCCGCACTCCAATTGTCGATCTTCGCCTAAATTTTAATGTAGTTGGAGACTTCCCTGAAATGGGAACAGGAAGAGAGGAAAAAATAATATTTTTTTTTTGGTAAGAATACATAAAGCTTTAAAATGGGATTATTTTTTTTTCTTTTTAAGAGTGATTTATGCTATTTATGAAAACATCCAAAGTTAGCTGCTCAGCTCAAGAAACCTTCCTGAGCAAAAGTAAATTGACTCCCTAAAAGCAAGTTAATATTTACATAAACTATATACCAAGTGAGAACCTCTCTTTCTTTTACTTGTTCAATTGATAGTTAAGGAACTGTCTGCCAATACTTGCAGAATTTTGTCTTGCTACTCCCTTGGGAAACTCACTGACACCTAATCAGCTGGACAGAAAAAAGTTAAATAGGGAATTAAAGCAACACTTTAACACAGTTCTATCCTTGGGCAGATTCAAACTCACCCAGACAACCTGAACCTGACCTAACTGAATCTTTTCATGCACTTGGACAAGATGATCTCCAGACGGCCTCCAAGAAGGACATTAGTCTCTCCAGCCTTACCTATAGATCGTTTAGTAAAACTTTCTTGAGTAATCCCAAATTCAGCAATTGTTGCAGATGCAAAATCAACAGGTTCTTTCCTCTGTTTCTCTGACATTGCACAATCAGATGCTTCTTCTGCTTTGGCCCTATTAGGTGTCAAGTAGCATTCATCCCCCAAAGCAACAGGTCTACTTCTTGAAAAACTTTCCCCACCGTTCAAAGGCAAGGCAGGTTCACCAACCACATCCCCTTTTAGCACATCAATAAAGCGTTCAGTAAACTGACAGCTAACAACATCCTCCTGGTTGTGGCGGGATTCCTTCTTGAGGCCTCTGAAGTATTTCAGGGTGCGTTTTTGCAACCGCGCCTGGTTCCCATCACTTAAATTCTCCTCCTTGGATGCCTTGATGACTTTTGATTTGGTCACTGTACAAATCTTCTGGTCTTTTGACTGATCGAGGAAAGAGGCTTCTTCCTTCTCTTCAGTGCATCTACTCTCATTTTCTTTAACTTCCAGGGGAGCATTTATATTCTTAGATTGTCTGTGCATTGTTAGTGATTTATTTGAAGAAACATTTAGTCAGCCTTTGCTCTCCCGTAATTACAGATACCTATAAAAAAAAAAAAAAGGGAAGAAAGATATTTTAATAGGTATTTGGTAAGAGCAAGAGTTCGCAGCCATTCTCAAACTTCTACCAAACCTAGGTTTTTCCTGGAACAAGGTGTGGCGGAAAGGGAAAGTCGTATTTCTGGAAAGGACACAAAAGCCTAGCACCAGAAAGGAAAACGCACAGCAATATAATCCTGCAGCAGAAGCATGTCGTCAGTAAGAAAATACAAGGCTATGCTTGCACCCTAGCACACTTAGTATAAAGTTAGTATAAAATACGTTAAGCACAATGGCACCGCGATCATTCCGCTGTATGTGTTGAAACAAACATTAGCAGTTTAATACTAATTAGAAAATTCGTTACGTCAACGTTTTTTGCATTTAGTTTCTTGCGTTTCAGCATTTAAATTTAATGCTAATCGGAAAATTCATTACATTAACTTTTTTCTGCATTCAGTTTATTGGGCTTAAACACGTATATTTAATACTAATTGGAAAATTTACTCCATTAACGCTCTTTCGCATTTAGTTTCTTGGGTTTAAGCATGTAAACTCAATCATGTCAGTCTGAAACTGGCTCCAGGAGCATCTCTCTGTACTTTGTGTAACAGGAATTAAGCTGTTACATACCGCATAGGCAACTTTTTTTTTTTCCTTCTTTTTAACTGTTTTAAGTGCCCGCTAAGAGGCGACGCCTGCACCTACCCGGTTACCCAACCGAGAGCCGCGACTGCGCGAGGGGCCGGGGCCCAACACGGGGCTCCCCAGTTCCCTCAGCGCCCCCCCCTCCTTTCTACCCCCT